TTTGAGCCCTATGTGGTATTCCTCCGGGTTCATTCTGCGTTCCTTTTAGTTCAATGGGTACAAGGGGCCCCAGAAGAATGAGGAAGAACATGAGCTGCAGTGATTTCTGTATACTGATAACACCAAGCTCCGTATCTTTACCTTATCCCAGCCAGCCAGCATAGCTGGTTCAATGCTTGGAGGAAACCGCAGTGTGGGTGAAGACTTAGCTGGCTGAAACTCAGTCCAAATAAGACTGAGGTAATGGTGGGGGAGGGGTAGAAAAATCAATGAAGATTATTCAATTGCTTTTATTAAAGGTGGTTCCCAGCCATGTGTAGCCACAGCTCACAATCTGGTGTGGGTTTGAATCCCCCACTGCCACTATTTTCAAGACTTTCCTCCATCCTTACCAGGCTGCATGTTTGCAAGCTCTGAACCCTGCTCCTGTGATCTGTGCGTAGGTCTCCTCCAGATCCGCTTATTGAAATGCAGAGTAAAAACAAATGATGAAATTACAAGATAACAAGAACCAGATGCTGGTAACTGTTCCAACCACTTGCTCCTACCCTACAATAAGTGAAAGCTAAACCAGGGCAGCCTAGTACGGACTGAGAGCCAAAAACAGGGTGCAAGTGGGCTGACAGCATCTACCGTGCGTCAGCTGCTTTATAGAAAGTCCCCCACTGCTATTTGATTATTTGTCTATACCCATACTCTATTGCCTGCAGGTCTGCAACATAAAAATAAATACATAAAATAATAGGTAGGGTCTCAGCTCTTACTGAGTCCCCAGGATTTGCAAAGAAAGACCAGGAAGTTTAAACAAACAAGCAAAAAAACCCTACTTGCATTCTTTCCCTTTGTGCAATGGAAACACCACAAACATTCAAAGAATGAGCTGTCTCTTCAGCTCCTTCCTTAACACTCTATTTACCTGTTTAACTCCAACAACTAGTTGCCATATTACAGAAGGGAAGTGTTTGTTAAAGCTTCAATATTCCTGCCTTTCCAGTTAGTGAGTCAAAATTGCAATGCACATCGCTGCAAGGTCCCAGAAAAACCAAGAAAAACTAGGCTCAACATAGCTGAAGCGTTTATGGTAAAAGCCAAGCAAGATGGAATTAAAAAGAAATCCAAAGCAATCCAACACCCCTGCGGCTATTCTTAGAGATTACACAATGGTAAACATACATTTATTGCAGTAGCCAAATCTAGAGAAAAAAAAAGCTTTTGTTAATCACCTTTACTGTTCATCACTGAAAACAATGCACAATACAACAGCTCTCTTGTTAACCAGTACCTGCAACCAGCAGTGAGTTCTATTTGTATTCTATGATCTACTCTGCCTAGCCATGTATTTTCTAAAGAAGTTTATAGTGTTGGTTTTGATTCAAAGTGAATTCCCCCCCTTGAGAGAGCGTGTCCTTGAGTCAGGCGAAGTCAGCAGATGTGTATGAGCTGAAGTATGCTGATGTACAGCTACAAATATCCCATGGGGAATACCTAGCATGGTAGCTGTACTGCAGACAATGATCTGGGAGTTGGAGAGGAATGCTGCTGCAGAAAGAAAAGGCGAATCACATTCTGGGATGGGTGAAAAGGAGTGTCTTATATAAGGCCAAGAAGTTCCTGGCCCCTCTGGCTTTCCCTTGCCTCTCAGTCCATAAGCCACCAGTCCCCAGCTTGGGGAAAAGGCAGGAAGCAGCTGGGGGTGTTTCCCTCTCCTCCCAGACCAGACCAGGAAGGAAGTGTACAAGCTTTTATTATTTTGGGAAAGTTTTTCTTGTTTCCCCCAGAAGAAACTGAATGAATGCTTGTACACTTGCAGTTTGTACCAGCAGAACGTGATAGAAGTGCAACACCTATACATGGCCTAACACACGGGATGTAATTATCTTTCTGTACTCGGTGCCAGTTAGAAATCCACCTAGATACTGTGTCTGTTTCCAGGTACCACACTTAAAATTGTGAACAGACAAGACAGGGACTAGGGCAGAATAACAAGACAAAGAGCTTTAAAAACACAACCTCTTAGGAAAGAGTGAAGGAATTAGGTTTGTTTAATCTTAAGAAGAGAAGATTGACATACACACTCACAGAGCACTATAATGGTCTTCCAATCTGTAAAAAGTTAAGAAGGATGAACAGAGTACTGGCTGGACTTGATTTACTGGAGGTGATTATGGTTGTTTTGGGGGTGAGAGCAGGCTGCCGGATTTATTTTTGGATCAGGCCCTTAAACAATGGTACTTGTTTCTCAAAGTTGGTATAATGTTGTAGCTGTGATACTCCACAGAAAAGGGGAGAAACAAGATTTGTGTATTTTTAGACAAGCAGGTCTGAGAAAGGAGATATAGGTCTGATCAAGGGCAATTCATTCTCAAAGTCTGTCTAACGTTCTCTCAACTATAAAGGTAGCCCAATGAAAGGTATTACCAAATAAATCTTGCATCTTGTTTATGAAAAGTAGTTGTATGGAAAGCTGAGAGGAGTTAAATAGCTTAAGGGCCTTTAAAATTCTGCCTATATTTAGGTAATGTGGGTTAAGTACTCTGATATCTAAGGTAAATATGCTATAGAATATGGTGGTGTTACAGTACGACTTCCTCTGCAGCCTTGACATTTCTGTTCCTCTCTTCCCTCTTTTTTTCAATGCAGTACAAGTTAACCCAACAGGGCTCTGAAAAAAATGCCTGTTATACTTGTCTTACGTAATGGAAGTGCACTAATTTAAGCACAGGCAGAGAGCTGACAAAACAGTGGCAGGTGTTCCTCCTTAGTGTGCCAAAAAAAACAAACCCTGACCCTTATATTCAAATCTGCCTCAATTGCTTGGCATCCAGCATGCCTTTTACTGTAAATCACGGCTACAGGATACAAAATAACACAGCAGAATAAAATCTGTTAGCAGTCAGTGGAAATCTGCTTCTTTCTCCTGACATTGGGCAGATAGGCTGATCTGGGCATGACAATTTTGGAATCTTAGGAAGAGTTTATGCCACAATGCACGTATGCAGGTTGGTGATAGTTCACATCCTTAAAGCTGAATAACCTTTTATTCTCTATCCTGCTACAGTTTACTCACGTATTACTGGTGTGGCACATCTAACTGACAAAAATCCAGACAGCAATACTATCCTGGTATGCTTCTGTAAAGCACCCAGCTTACTTTCAGTCACTGAAGATGTTATAGTCTTAACCTGATGGAGGCCTTGATCCACAGTCTACTGAAATCCCTGGGAGTTTTTCCTTTGGACATTGAATTGGATGCTTGATCCCTTATTAAATTATCACTGCCTTTTCTACTCTTTGTCTACCAGCTATCTAGTGCTGTGCAATATTGCATCTGACCCAACTGAAAACAAAACCAAACAACAAACGTTCTATGATTTTACAGAGGTGGTGGAATCTCCATCCTTGGAGGCTTTTAAGACCCAGCTAGACCAAGCCTGGAATGTGATGATGTAAGTGGGGGTGGTCCTGCTTTGAGCATGGGGTTGAACTGGATGACCTCCTGAGGTCCCGTCCAACCCTAGTTTTCTATGAGTCTAAGAGCTCCTCAGTCAATCCATAATGATCTGCAAAAAGTGGGGAAATCTGAAGGATTGTCTCTTACAATATTGTACAGAAAGTCATAAAGGTGCATCACTGCCTCTCTTAACAGGCCATAAGACCTTCCTGTTCCTTTTGCATAGCCAGACACCTGTCCAGGCCCACCTGTTTTCATTCCCTTTGTAATTTTATGCTAGGGACAAGCATAACACATCAACCTGTTTAAGTGAACAGAAACTGGTTTAAACCAGTAACAGAACAGATGTTCAGTGCAAATAAACCAGTTTGAAAATGGCTGAAACCAGTTTGAGAGAAACCTGGCTGTATCAGTTAAGTATCAGACTTAACTGATTGGGGTCAAATTGGTTTATGCAATGTCTGTCCCAGACCCCTTCCTAGTTCAAGTTAAATCAGAATCCTTCAGCATCCCAGTTGCTTTGCAACTCTGGGCGGGGCTCTGCTCCAACCTGGCAGGGCTGGCCCCTCCCCTCTGCTCCTTGGCTGCAGCTCCAACACAGACTGCGGGTATAGGGCATCTGCCTGGCTTCCTCCTGCTCCCCCCACTCCTCCTTACAACTCCCTGCTGAAGCAGGTATTCCCCTGTCCCCTCTGCCTTACATAAACACCTCTTAGCATTAGCCAGCAGACCACATGCTGGCTATGGTCAATGCTGTGAGAGACATGACCAAGGCAGACAGGGTAGTGTTGGCTTAGGGCTCTTTAGCTAATCACCAGGTAGCTGGTAATGTCCCCCTTCCTTGGAATAAGTTTTTTAAGAAGAGCATGAACTAATGAGAGATCCTTCTGTCTCATAGTTTCATAGTTTCTAGGGTCGGAAGGGACCTGAGCAGATCATCTAGTCCAACCCCGTGCCATGGCAGGAAGAGCACTGGGGTCAAATGACCCC